TAAAGGGCAATAACTCCTTAAGGGGTCAATTGACAATTTTGGTCATGTTGCCTTATTTGTAGATCTAACTTTGCTGTACATTATTGCTGTTAACAGTTTATCTCTATCTATAACAATATTCAAGATAATAACCAAAAGCTGCAAAATTTTCTTAAAATTACCAATTCAGGGGCAGCAACCCAACAACGGGTTGCCTGATTGGTCTGAAAATTTCAGGGCAGATAGATCTTGACCTAATGAACAATTTTATACTCGTCAGATTTGCTCTAAATGCTTTGGTTTCAGAGATATGAGCCAAAAACTGCATTTTACCCTATGTACTATTTTTTAGCCATGTCGGCCATCTTGGTTCGCGGGCGGAGTCATCGGACACATTTTTTAAACTTGATACCCTAATGATGATTGTGGACAAGTTTGGTTAAATTTGTCTTAGTAGTTTCAGAGGAGTAGATTTTTGTAAAAAATTAAAAAAAATTACGAAAAATGGTTAAAAATTGACTATAAAGGGCAATAACTCCTTAAGGGGTCAACTGACCATTTTGGTCAAGTTGACTTATTTGTAGATCTTACTTTGCTGAACATTATTGCTGTTTACAGTTTATCTCTATCTATAATAATGTTCAAGATAATAACCAAAAACTGCAAAATTTCCTTAAAATTACCAATTCAGGGGCAGCAACCCAACAACGGGTTGCCTGATTGGTCTGAAAATTTCAGGGCAGATAGATCTTGACCTAATGAACAATTTTATACTCGTCAGATTTGCTCTTAATGCTTTGGTTTCAGTGATATGAGCCAAAAACTACATTTTACCCTATGTACTATTTTTTAGCCATGTCGGCCATCTTGGTTCGCGGGCGGGGTCATCGGACACATTTTTTAAACTAAATACCCTAATGATGATTGTGGACAAGTTTGGTTAAATTTGTCTTAGTAGTTTCAGAGGAGAAGATTTTTGTAAAAAATTACAAAAATTTACGAAAAATGGTTAAAAATTGACTATAAAGGGTAATAACTCCTTAAGGGGTCAAATGACCATTTTGGTCAAGTTGACTTATTTGTAGATCTTACTTTGCTGAACATAATGGCTGTTTACAGTTTATCTCTATCTATAATAATGTTCAAGATAATAACCAACTAGAGGCTCTAAAGAGCCTGTGTCGCTCACCTTGGTCTATGTGCATATCAAACAAGGACACAGATGGATTCATGACAAAATTGTGTTTCGGTGATGGTGATGTGCTTGTAGATCTTACTTTACTGAACATTCTTGCTCCTTACTATTATCTTTATCTATAACGAACTTGGCCCAGTAGTTACAGTGGAAAATATTATGTAAAAATTTACAAAAATTTACAAAATTTATGAAAATTGTAAAAAATTGACTATAAAGGGCAATAACTCCTTAAGGGGACAATTGACAATTTTGATCATGTTGACTTATTTGTAGATATTACTTTGCTGTACATTATTGTCTTTTACAGTTTATCTCTATCTATAATAATATTCAAGATAATAACCAAAAGCTGCAAAATTTTCTTAAAATGACCAATTCAGGGGCAGCAACCCAACAACGTGTTGCCTGATTGGTCTGAAAATTTCAGGGCAGATAGTTCTTGACCTAATGAACAATTTTATCCCGTCAGATTAGCTCTAAATGCTTTGGTTTCAGAGATATGAGCCAAAAACTGCATTTTACCTTATGTACTATTTTTTAGCCATGTCGGCCATCTTGGTTCGCGGGCGGGGTCATCGGACACAATTTTTAAACTAGATACCCCAATGATGATTGTGGCCAAGTTTGGTTAAATTTGGCCAAGTAGTTTCAGAGGAGAAGATTTTTGTAAAAGATTACAAAAATTTACGAAAAATGGTTAAATATTGACTATAAAGGGCAATAACTCCTTAAGGGGTCAACTGACCATTTTAGTCACTGTGACTTATTTGTAGATCTTACTTTGCTGAACATTATTGCTGTTTACAGTTTATCTCTATCTATAATAATATTCAAGATAAAAACCAAAAACGGCAAAACTTCCTTAAAATTACCAATTCAGGGGCAGCAACCCAACAACGGGTTGTCAGATTCATCTGAAAATTTCAGGGTAGATAGATCTTGACCTGATAAACAATTTTACTTACGTCAGATTTGCTCTCAATGCTTTGGTTTCAGAGATATAAGCCAAAATCTACATTTTACCCCTATGTTCTATTTTTAGCCATGGCGGCCATCTTGGTTGGTTGGCCAGGTCACCGGACACATTTTTTAAACTAGATACCCCAATGATGATTATGGCCAAGTTTGGTTAAATTTGGCCAAGTAGTTTCAGAGGAGAAGATTTTTGTAAAAGATTACAAAAATTTATGAAAAATGGTTAAAAATTGACTATAAAGGGCAATTACTCCTTAAGGAGTCAACTGACCATTTTGGTCATTTGTCTTATTTGTAGATCTTACTTTGCTGAACATTATTGCTGTTTACAGTTTATCTCTATCTATAATAATATTCAAGATAATAACCAAAAACGGCAAAATTTCCTTAAAATTACCAATTCAGGGGCAGCAACCCAACAACAGTTTGTCCGATTCATCTGAAAATTTCAGGGCAGATAGATCTTGACCTGATAAACAATTTTACCCCATGTCAGATTTGCTCTAAATGCTTTGGTTTCAGAGATATAAGCCAAAATCTACATTTTACCCCTATGTTCTATTTTTAGCCATGGCGGCCATCTTGGTAGGTTGGCGGGGTCATCGGACACATTTTTTAAACTAGATACTTGAATGATGATTGTGTTTAAGTTTGGGTGCATTTGGCCCAGTAGTTTCAGAGGAGAAGATTTTTGTAAAAGTTTACGGACGACGGACGACGGACGACGGACGCAAAGTGATGAGAAAAGCTCACTTGACCTTTCAGGTCAGGTGAGCTAAAAACGGCAAAATTTCCTTAAAATTACCAATTCAGGGGCAGCAACCCAACAACGGGTTGTCCGATTCATCTGAAAATTTCAGGGCAGATAGATCTTGACCTGATAAACAATTTTACTTTACGTCAGATTTGCTCTAAATGCTTTGTTTTCAGAGATATAAGCCAAAATCTACATTTTACCCCTATGTTCTATTTTTAGCCATGGCGGCCATCTTGGTTGGTTGGCTGGGTCACCGGACACATTTTTTAAACTAGATACCCCAATGATGATTGTGGCCAAGTTTGGTCAAATTCAAACTTGGCCCAGTAGTTTCAGAGGAGAAGATTTTTGTAAAAGTTTACGGACGACGGACGACGGACGCCAAGTGATGAGAAAAGCTCACTTGACCTTTCAGGTCAGGTGAGCTAAAAATATCTCTCAGATCACCGTCTGGCATAATGAAATTCTCATATCTGTAGTTGTGGACTTCAGTTTAATTCGTGAGAATCCAGGCTTTAAGAAAAAGCAGAAATAAGAGTTCATGATTTGATTGGGACATGACAATAATGACATCGTAAGGGAAATTTTTCAGAAAAAATAGACAACTTTCAGGAACATGGAGCACAAACGTCGCCAAAAATATTGGTTTGCTAAAGTTGGGAAATATACTTACTGTATGAATGGGAATCTTGTTTACATCAGTAACACTGTATAACAATTGTTTTGGATATGGTGTACAGCAGATTTATAAAAAAAAATAAACTTAGCCACCGAGGCTAGTGCTGGACTGCTTGATTGATATATCCACATGGGCGTTACTTCGTTTGGACATCTAGTCAACTTCAGTCAGACTGTAAATACTTTACCTGCATTTTCCTGCTCAAAATATAAATGCTTCCCAAAAACAACATTTTATGTCATTCATTTTTTTCCATTTGTATACATGTCCCAGTAAACCATCTTGGTTTATTTCTTGTAGATGGGGCTTTAAAACTGGAGTATCTGCATTTTACAATAATATATTTATTTCATGTTACATGTTTTCCTGTTTTTCTTTAGTATTGGAACAGTGTTATTGAGCAGATGGCCCATCCCAAGATAAAATTGGGATAGGGTGAACCACTGTCCAATGTACAAATGCATACCCTGTAGAAACACTCAGTCTCCCTTCTATTGAGTTAATACGATTGCCTTAGTCTTTGTTACATTCATTTGTCTCACGATTGCCTAAGTCTTTGTTACATTCATTTGTCTCACGATTCCCTAAGTCTTTGTTACATTCATTTGTCTCACGATTCCCTAAGTCTTTGTTACATTCATTTGTCTCACGATTCCCTAAGTCTTTGTTACATTCATTTGTCTCACGATTCCCTAAGTCTTTGTTACATTCATTTGTCTCACGATTCCCTAAGTCTTTGTTACATTCATTTGTCTCTTCCGAATTGATTTACAAGATTTAAACATCAGCAAACTACTGTCCCCTTAATCAAAGACTCTCATTTAGGGCTGAAGATGGGGAAATATTAAAAAGACGAAGTTGAAAAATAGACACAATACTTAAATCCCTTAAGAACGCTATCCTGACAAAATAATGTGGCAGGAATTTCTGTCACCTAACTAATCAAGCTAGTCAAAGTCATACTACATAATTATTAGTAAAATAAAACTTTCTATATCTCTGGAAAAATTAAAACTTCGAAATTCACAATAACCTCTGTTAGCATCCCATTTAGAATAAACTTGGACTAGGATTTCCTGTGTCAAGCATAAATTATATGAACTAGGGGAGGTAATTCAACAGATAAAACTGACGGAAAAATTTGGAGTTATATATACCAGATGTGTTAATTCAAACTTTTGAGTTGACAAGAATTCATCTTAAAAGAGAATATCAGAAGAAAAATTTCAGAGGGTTGATCTTACAATTTTTTTTCAGCCTTCTGTTTCTCGTGTACTTTGACAATATTTTCTTATGAATATTATTCTTTTTTTCATGTATTATAGTTATATCATATGATGGAAACATTCTAAGGATGTAACAAATGGACTTTCAATGATAGGCTTACAAAATGTTGTGAAATAACAACTGAATACAGTAAACATTTATTGCAAATAAATTGGTAAAAACTACCTAACAAAATGGATTTCTTAAGCAATAAATCAATTTCTTTACAATCTTTTTTTTTTAAATAATTAAATTCATTGAAGTAGATTGCCACTTAAGTTCATGAATAATAAAAATAAAAATCATAGTTATATATATATATATATTAAAATTGATAACCATAAAGTTTGCATTTCATTAAAAATACACAATTATACATTATCTATGGACACCATGAAAATGGTTTGATTTTTTGCTATATATTTAATTAACAAGTGGTTCTCTGATGGTGAGAGGACTGTCCAGCAGCCTTATATACACAAATCTATAAAAATAAACTTAGTAAAATCACTTTCTTTTAAAAAAAAACCTGTGTCTATCATTATAATAAAACAATATGACACATTATCCTATCTATAGTCAAGATATTTACTTTTAACACAACCAAAGCATAAATATCACCAGGCCTTTAAAATTACAAATTTACTTGTTTCAAACCTTATTAACTTTTTGCCATTTAAATAACAAATCTTGCGTAGTATTATTTTTTGAAAATTATTTTCTTTCTTTTGTCAAAATCATACAAAATCATATAGCTGAGATGTTATCTTTTACAATGAAAAGAGTAATACTTGCAACATCCCAACAAACCAATGAAATATCTAGACTTTAGAACCATTATTCTGAAATGTACCAACTCCACCTGATTTTAATGGTTTCTAACATTGAGCCTAAATTTCAATTAAAAATGCTCTCTTGAAGCATTCTCAAACCTTAAATCAGTTATTTTCCACATTATTGAGGGATGTCACTCTAAAACAAATTTGAAATCTGTCAAAGTCAAACTAGACCTGTCAGTAGCAGTTTCTAGCATTGTATAAAAGGCTATCTTGGCATTTTGAACTGATACTAGTTTTAGGATGTATGGAAACACAAAGAAAAAAAAAAACATTCACAGCCCTTCACAATTCAGTTTGGGCCTAAAATACAACACAATCTGGCACAATAAAAAACTGATGATCTAGTATAGATTTATAAATTCTACATCAAAATATGTAAAAGTAGCACCTCCTTTTTATAGTACAAGAAAGATTAGAAAATCACAAAACAGTCACGAAATTGGTAAACTACAAGAGGCAACATTCTATCTACAAGTTAAAAGCATTTACGCTGAGTGAATTTTACTATCATTTAAAAAAAAAATATAAACCAATAAAAATATTCAGATATGTCTTCTTTCAACCTATATTTATGTACATTTAAATACCCTATACATTTAGAGATGAACATCCTATAGTAAATATATATGAAGCTTCAAAAAAATGTAAACATTATAAAACTAAAAATCACAACACTAATGAAAAAAAATTAATGTCAAAATGTCATATATAATATAATGATAATTATGTGAGAACATTAACTTCGGGGATCTCACTTAGAAATAATATCTAATTTATTCAAAATGTAACTATTGCATCAATAAGTATTATCTGTGAATCAGATCTATTTTCCATTATATACCATACATAATCTGCCCATGTTTAATCCTGATCAGCCTTTGTAGCAAATGACTGGAGAGCAGACATTTCTGATGGCACATTTGTTAACTGTACTTCTTCTTCTTGGCTGTCAGTATCAGCATCTGAAATATACACATTAATCAAATCATGTCAATTAATGTGAGATTGAAGAACATGAATTCCATATCAAACTTAATATATGATTCCAATGCATTGATTCAGAGACCTCTTTATATCTCTGTACAAAAGATTTGTCAATTGTCTCTGTGTGACAACTAACCTAGTACTTATTTCAATGATATATTCTTATAAATAAAAAGGGAGAAAGTGACTCCATCTATCATTTATCATTATATCTTATTGTATCTTTATGAACAGAACTTGGTGATCATATCTAGCCTTAGCTATAGATCGGTTAATGATGGCAGAGATATATGTGAAATTAAGTTCTTTATTTCAGGGGAAAAAATGTTTTATATGCCAATACTAATATAAACTAATGATGAAATAAACACACAGGAAAATAACTGAAAAATATATTTTTAATCATCTACTTGCATCACTTACTTCTGTACTCATTGGCCTAGCAAGGCAAAACAGGATGGTACGGGAATGATGCCATGAATAGAAATGTAGATAATGATGGGGGCTTTGTAATAAATAAAATATCTGGACTTTCTCTTCTGGTTTTAATTACCAAGATCGACATAAGTGACTACATTTTATTGAAATTAAAATAGTGGGTTGTAAATTATTTATCAAATTAAGAGGTGTGCCGAATATAATTCTCTTTTCTTTCATCTGATGAAAAAATTGTCTAGAAAATGCCAAAAGCATGAAAAAATTATGTATAATTAATAAATATATAACATATAAAGTAGTCTGACATGTAAATTCTTAATGTAAAATTTATTTAATATTATAATATTGCAGATAGGCATTTTATTTTCATCATTGTACTTACTAGCACCAGAAGCAGTCTTGTGAGAGGGAGCATACAGCGACAGCAGTCCAAAGATGTAAACATTCCACAGACCATACACACCTAATAAATAAATCAATTAGTCTATCAACAAAGTTAATTCTTACATAATCATATACATTGTATGTTTATCTAAAAAAACGTATTCTTACATAATTATAAATATTTTTTTAATAACAAGATCCAAACAATTGTTAAATATAAATCATTTGTCTTTTCCTTTTACATTGGTGTACCCATCAAAAATCCAATTGCATAAAAGATCTCCGAAAAACTTTAAAAAACTTTCATTATATTCTCTTACCTTCTAGATAATATATTTAATTTGCCTTTATAAACTATTGTGAAAAGAAAAAGCATGACTTACTTTCAAACCTTTTTATGGATGAGCAGAAACATTTTATAAGTTGATTTAATCTTACTTACCTGTAAAGAATGCACTTGAGTATTCCAGCTTAAGATTTTCATCTCCCCATTTCCACTGTCCTTCACTTAACTGACTGATGATAAAGAAAATAACAGTCAATGCAGCACAGAATAATGTCAGCAGCATCAGAAACTTAAATCGAAAGATCAGGCCCTGTAAAAACAAAAGTAAGTGTCATTATCACTATTTCCTTAGATTTTACTTAAGATTTTTTTTGTGTGATAATTTTCCATGTCAAGCTACTGTTAAAATGGGTTTAGTCAGTCGAGTAGAGTGAAAACGTGATGACTTCATCTAAAAGATTATCTATGGTCTCTCAACTATCGTCCTTTGATGAGATTTTAGCCAAAAAACTTCCTCTCATTTCAAAACCATAGATAATTAGTAAATAAATATATAAATTATGAAACAAATTACAGCTTTGATATTTAAAGAACTGTCAAACCATCTGTACTTTTTTGTTTCAATTCATTCATTGTTGCACAATTCACAAAATATTTTCCCAGTACTGTGAATGCAATTTATTTATAGGGACTGATTTTCTCAATTTCAACAAAATGTTGCTGTTTTCCACTGATCATGTGATCAAATATGCAAACTTTTATGCAAAAATATTCTAAATAAATCATGAGAAACTAATTTTCCTAGAAAGTCATAGTTAATAAGTATTAATAAAGTTACAGTAGATTAAAAAATTTTCATGATTTTTTGAAGAACGCAAATTTATACAAAATGATAAAGAGTTAAAGTAACATATGCTTAGTTTTATGAAAACTTCTTCTTTATATTGCCTTACCATATAATACTTTTTCCTCATATGACTCATGCTTGGTAGGGTTGATTTTTTAGCACTGATGTTTCGGAAGACACGGTAAATCATGACACACAAGAACAGGAAGTAGGCTGTGGCAGCGACGGCAGCTAATATAATGAAAGCCAACTACCATCTGTTAAGGAAAATAGCTTTGCTATTTATAATTTCTACACTTTATAGACATTTATAAAATATAAGAACCGAGGAAGAGATAGATCTTTGGGACAGATAATTAACATTAAAAGATTTTTATTGTATAAAATGGCATTGGCATAAAACAGCTTTTCAAATTACAGTACATGTCTATCAAAATTCTCAATGATATTTGATATTAAACAGAAAAAGGATACAGCCAGTTTTGATCCTATTTCACTCGACCAAATACTGTAGAATGGATTCTTTAACTGCATTCCTCTGTAAAATAAACACAATGAAGACTTGTGTATTATTATTTAGAGATATCATGTTGTTCTTTGTTGTTGACCGAGTAATCTGAGCAAACAATACTTCTGTTTCTAATTAACTTAAAAAATTGCTCAAATTAACACACTGTAATATTGTATTAAATATTTCATTGTACAACTTTTTTGCCAATTACTCTTAACAAGGAAAAAACTTTCAGAATACTTTCTTTATCTATGTAATGCGAAATATGAAGAAAAGAAAGAAGATAAAAAAGAAAGAAGATAAAAGGATATTTTATGCTCCTCAATTTTTTTCATGGAAGATGAAAAAACACATTTTCTTGCAACTTTCTAGTTAAAGTTACGTGGACCATTGAAATATCAAGGCATAGAAATGATTTCTTGTCCCTTCTGTGGGGATTGAGCAGTATTATTGTAAAGCCATAGTTAAAATTATCATTTCTCCCGTAAAAATGGCAAAATCAAAATGATGATACAATTGTAAACTACATATGATGGCAAACAATCTTATCAATTATGTCAAACAGTGTTAGAGGAGTTGCTTTCACAGGGTGTCATTGAGGTAGGATATTGAAAAAAAAAAAGGTCAAAGTCCAATAACTCCAGTAAAAAATGTCAACACAACTTGACAGTACAGTATGGTCAAGAGAAAGTGATGACAGATATTCCAACCAAGTATGTAAGCTTTCTGTTTAATGGCTTCTGAGAGTTGTTGTGTTTTGGACAGATGAGGGACAGATAAACTAACAGACAAACAAAGACAACCAAGCTATCTTGAATTGAACAGGTATTATAAAAAATTGCTCAAAAACAAATGACAATGATGGTAATTGACTGTAAAATTTCTTTTCAATCCGAAGCATACTGTACAAGAATTGGTACTTACAAAAAAATGTTTACAATTTCCTGAGTTTTAGACAATGTGGGCCCTATTAAGTCATTATCAAATATGTACCTTTCACACATCTCAAACACAAACAAGCACACACAACCAACTATAACAGCCGTTAAATGTTTCCAATACAACTTCAGTCGGTTTCTCTCGGTCTGATCCTAAAATAGAATGTTAGTGTAATGACTGAACTATTCCTCATCTAATTAATATTGATTTGTATTTGATCTCCATTTATTTATACAGTTTATGAATTTTTCTGAAGCATGACTGAAATATTCATTAATGCAAAAATTGAATATAACAAGAGAAAATAGTGTAAAATTAAGTTCTGGGATGTATGTATATATAAAAATAAGAAGATGTGGTATGATTTCCAATGAGACAAATATATGTTTATGTGTATTGGATGTATTTACAGGTTTGTGTGAAATGGATGTATTTACTGGTTTGTGTGTATTGGATGTATTTATAGGTTTGTGTGAAGTGGATGTATTGTATTTACAGGTTTGTCTGAATTGGATGTTTTTATAGGTTTGTGTGAATTGGATGTATTTTCAGGTTTGTTTGAATTGGATGTATTTATAGGTTTGTGTGAATTGGATGTATTTACAGGTTTGTGTGTATTGGATGTATTTATAGGTTTGTGTGAATTGGATGTATATACAGGTTTGTGTGAATTGGATGTATTTACATTTTTGTGTGAATTGGATGTATTTTCAGGTTTATGTGTATTGGATGTATTTACATTTTTGTGTGAATTGGATGTATTTCTAGGTTTGTGTGAATTGGATGTATTTACATTTTTGTGTGAATTGGATTCTTTACATTTTTGTATGAATTGGATGTGTTTACAGGTATGTATGAATTGGATGTATTTACATTTTTGTGTGAATTGGATGTATTTTTAGGTTTGTGTGAATTGGATGTATTTCTAGGTTTCTGTGAATTGGATGTATTTACAGATTTGTATGAATTGGATGTATTTACATTTTTGTGTGAACTGGATGTATTAACAGGTTTGTGTGAATAGGATGTATTTACAGATTTGTGTGAATTGGATGTATTTACATTTTTGTGTGAATTGGATGTATTTACATTTTTATGTGAATTGGATGTATTTATAGGTCTGAATGAATTGGATGTATTTACAGGTTTGTATGAACTGGATGTATTTACAGGTTTGTGTGAATTGGATGTATTTACATTTTTGTGTGAATTGGATGTATTTACATTTTTATGTGAATTGGATGTATTTATAGGTTTGAATGAATTGGATGTATTTACAGGTTTGTTTGAATTGGATGTATTTCTAGGTTTATGTGAATTTGATGCATTTTCAGGTTTGTGTGAATTGGATGTATTTACATTTTTGTGTGAATTTGGATGTATTTACATTTTTGTGTGAAATGGATGTATTAATAGGTTTGTGTGAATTGGATGTATTTTCGGGGTTTGTGTGAATTGGATGTATTTACATTTTTGTGTGAATTGGATGTATTAATAGGTTTGTGTGAATTGGATGTATTAATAGGTTTGTGTGAATTGGATGTATTTATAGGTTTGTGTGAATTGGATGTATTTACATTTTTTTGTGAATTTGGATGCATTTACATTTTTGTGTGAAATGGATGTATTAATAGGTTTGTGTGAATTGGATGTATTTTCGGGGTTTGTGTGAATTGGATGTATTTACATTTTTGTGTGAATTGGATGTATTTACAGGTTTGTGTGAATTGGATGTATTTACACGTTTGTGTGAATTGGATGTATTAATAGGTTTGTGTGAATTGGATGTATTTAGAGGTTTGTGTGAATTGGATGAATTTAAACTTTTGTGTGAATTGGATGTATTTATATTTTTGTGTGAATTGGATGTATTTACAGGTTTGTGTGAATTGGATGTATTTACATTTTTGTATGAATTGGATGTATTTACAGGTTTGTGTGAATTGGATGTATTAATAGGTTTGTGCGAGTTGGATGTATTTTCTGGGTTTGTGTGAATTGGATGTATACACATTTTTGTGTGAATTGGATGTATTAATAGGTTTGTGTGAATTGGATGTATTTTCGGGGTTTGTGTGAATTGGATGTTTTTACTTTTTAGTGTGAATTGGGTGTAATTACATTTTTGTATGAATTGGATATCTTTACAGGTGTGTGTGAATTGGATGTATTTACATTTTTGTGTGAATTGGATGTTTTTACTTTTTAGTGTGAATTGGGTGTATTTACATTTTTCTATGAATTGGATATATTTACAGGTGTGTGTGAATTGGATGTATTTACATTTTTGTATGAATTGGATGTATTTATAGGTTTGTTTGAATTGGATGTATTTTCAGGTTTGTGTGAATTGGATGTATTTACAGGTTTGTGTGAATTGGATGTATTTAGATTTTTGTGTGAATTGGATGGATTTACAGGTTTGTGTGAATTGGATGTATTTACATTTTTGTGTGAATTGGATGTATTTTTATGTTTGTTTGAATTGGATGGATTTACATGTTTGTGTGAATTTAATGTATTTATAGGTTTGAATGAATTTGATGTATTTACAGGTTTGTTTGAATTGGATGTATTTCTAGGTTTGTGTGAATTGGATGAATTTTCAGGTTTGTGTGAATTGGATGTATTTACAGGTTTGTCTGAATTTGATGTATTTACATTTTTGTTTGAATTGGATGTATTTACTTTTTTGTGTGAATTGGATGTATTTACATTTTTGTATGAATTGGATGTATTTATAGGTTTGTTTGAATTGGATATATTTTCAGGTTTGTGTGAATTGGATGTATTTACAGGTTTGTGTGAATTGGATGTATTTACAGGTGTGTGTGAATTGGATGTATTTACATTTTAGTATGAATTGGATGTATTTATAGGTTTGTTTGAATTGGATGTATTTTCAGGTTTGTGTGAATTGGATGTATTTACAGGTTTGTGTGAATTGGATGTATTTACAGGTTTGTGTGAATTGGATGTATTTAGATTTTTGTGTGAATTGGATGGATTTACGGGTTTGTGTGAATTGGATGTATTTACAGGTTTGTGTGAATTGGATGTATTTTTATGTTTGTTTGAATTGGATGGATTTACATGTTTGTGTGAATTGATGTATATACATTTTTGTGTGAATTTAATGTATTTATAGGTTTGAATGAATTTGATGTATTTACAGGTTTGTTTGAATTGGATGTATTTCTAGGTTTGTGTGAATTGGATGTATTTTCAGGTTTGTGTGAATTGGATGTATTTACAGGTTTGTCTGAATTTGATGTATTTACATTTTTGTGTGAATTGGATGTATTTACATTTTTGTGTGAAATGGATGTATTTACATTTTTGTATGAATTGGATGTATTTACATTTTTTGTGTGAATTTGATGTATTTATAGGTTTGTATGAATTGGATGTATTTTCAGGTTTGTGTGAATTGGATGTATTTACATTTTTGTATGAATTGGATATATTAACATGTTTGTGTGAATTGGATGTATTTACATTTTTGTGTGAATTGGATGTATTTACAGGTTTGTGTTAATTAGATGTATTTACATTTTTGTGTGAATTGGATGTATTTACATTTTTGTATGAATTGGATGTATTTATAATTTATAGGTTTGTGTGAATTGGATGTATTTTCAGGTTTGTATGAATTGGATGTATTTACAGGTTTGTGTGAATTGGATGTTTTTACATTTTTGTGTGAATTGGATGTATTTACAGGTTTGTGTGAATTGGATGTATTTACATTTTTGTGTGAATTGGATGTATTTACTTTTTGTGTGAATTGGATGTATTTACTTTTTGTGTGAATTGGATGTATTACAGGTTTGTGTGAATTGGGTGTATTTACAGGTTTGTCTGAATTTTTATGTATTTACATTTTTGTGTGAATTGGATGTATTTACTTTTTTGTGTGAATTGGATGTATTTACATTTTTGTGTGAAATGGATGTATTTACATTTTTGTATGAATTGGATGTATTTACATGCTTTTGTGTGAATTTGATGTATTTATAGGTTTGTATGAATTGGATGTATTTACAGGTTTGTGTGAATTGGATGTATTTACATTTTTGTATGAATTGGATATATTAACATGTTTGTGTGAATTAGATGTATTTACATTTTTGTGTGAATTGGATGTATTTACAGGTTTGTGTTAATTAGATGTATTTACATTTTTGTGTGAATTGGATGTATTTATAGGTTTGTGTGAATTGGATGTATTTTCAGGTTTGTATGAATTGGATGTATTTACAGGTTTGTGTGAATTGGATGTATTTACAGGTTTGTGTGAATTGGATGTATTTACATTTTTGTGTGAATTGGATGTATTTACTTTTTGTGTGAATTGGATGTATTTACTTTTTGTGTGAATTGGATGTATTACAGGTTTGTGTAAATTGGATGTATTTACTTTATTGTGTGAATTGGATGTATTTATAGGTTTGTTTGAATTGGATGTATTTACAGGTTTGTGTGAATTGGATGTATTTACATTTTTGTGTGAACTGGATGTATTTACATTTTTATGTGAATTGGATGTATTTATAGGTTTGAATGAATTGGATGTATTTACAGGTTTGTTTGAACTGGATGTATTTACAGGTTTGTGTGAATTGGATGTATTTACATTTTTGTGTGAATTGGATGTATTTACATTTTTATGTGAATTGGATGTATTTATAGGTTTGAATGAATTGGATGTATTTACAGGTTTGTTTGAATTGGATGTATTTCTGGGTTTGTGTGAATTTGATGTATTTTCAGGTTTGTGTGAATTGGATGTATTTACATTTTTGTGTGAATTGGATGTATTTACATTTTTGTGTGAAATGGATGTATTAATAGGTTTGTGTGAATTGGATGTATTTTCGGGGTTTGTGTGAATTGGATGTATTTTCGGGGTTTGTGTGAATTGGATGTATTTACATTTTTGTGTGAATTGGATGTATTTACAGGTTTGTGTGAATTGGATGTATTTACACTTTTGTGTGAATTGGATGTATTAATAGGTTTGTGTGAATTGGATGTATTTATAGGTTTGTGTGAATTGGATGTATTTAGAGGTTTGTGTGAATAGGATGTATTTACACTTTTGTGTGAATTGGATGTATTTATAGGTTTGTGTGAATTGGATGTATTAATA